AAATATAAATATATGTAGAAATATCAAAATTATTTTATTTTTTATTAAATTCAATATAAATAACACGAAAAATTATTATTTGTATGAATTTCGACTAATGCGGACTGTAGAGTAAACGATAAGTTAAAATGTCCAAAAGTAGCTTTCAATTTGTTCATACACACACTACTAATCAATATACGAAAAAATATTACTTTGTTCCAAACGTGCCAACACGCCACAATCGACCAACCCGATTAGTGTAGCGTACACGCAAACAAAAGAAAAACGAAAAAATAAGTTTATCGTAGGCAAGCGACGGCTGCCTATTACGATATTAGTTATGTGTGTAGCGTGTGTGTATGGTACTGTAGTAAACAGACAAGCGACCGTACAACGTAAATAAGTCGCTAGCGTATATACGTGTATATTATTGTGTATTATTGAACAGGGATATTTGCGAATATTAAAGGGAAAGGGAACGTTTATTTTTGTATTATTATTCGCACAACACAGTGGTAATAGGTGCAGACTATTTTAGAATTTAATATTTATTATTAAAATTAGGTCGATGTTATCAATAAAATTATCAAAATTTAACACGAACGTTAATTAAATTTTATTAATAATATTGACCACACACATTAATTAAAAAACACTTTTTAAGCAATTTTTTCTCACAATTACCACAATATATATTTGCACTAAAACATAATTGTTTTTTTTACCACTGTTCAATAATAGACAAGGGAAAAATTAAAGGCGACAAACGAAAAAATAGGGATTAGCGACGCGTTGTAAAGCGACCTTTGTAGACTTTGAACTTTTTTTTTGTTTGTTATTCTTTTTTCGCGAGCTCACAAAAGAAAAAAATCACTGCACTCACCTACCTGATTTGTTGTTGATGATGTTTGAAGATGACGATGATGCATTTGATGAAGATGAATGAGGGATGATGATGTATAGGGATGGTGATGATGTTGTGTTGTTGTTTATTTTATTGAAATGAAAACTAATAAAAGCCAAATAGAATTCTGCTTCCAAAGCTCGAATCCGGCTCGAAGGACCAAAATGTTAAGGCGCCGAAATTGCGTTTCGAAAAAGGGAAAGAAATAAAACACGAACGTTTTAGTTTCTGATTCCAGAATTTTATTGATAAATTAAATATAAATAATAATAGGGGAAGATAAATGAGAACGAACAGATTACCTGTGTTACGAAGTAGCGATCGTGACGAGAAGGAGATGAACAATAACCACAATGCTGCAAAGTGACATTGGCGCAAAACAATACTCATTAGAAAACTGACAGTTCAATGTTGTAACAATAAGGAGTATTCAGTTTTCTAATGAGTATGCAAAACGAACACAATGAACACGAGCGTTCAAAGGATGCATTTTCCAACAATGCATATAAAAGCGATTCTTACTTAAACAAGAGGCGTGGTTATTTTAAAGAATATTTTTTCATGGACTATAAGAGGCGTGGTTATTTTAAAGAATATTTTTTCAAGGACTATAAGAGGCGTGGTTATTTTAAAGAATATTTTTTCAAGGACTATAAGAGGCGTGGTTATTTTAAAGAATATTTTTTCATGGACTATAAGAGGCGTGGTTATTTTAAAGAATATTTTTTCATGGACTATAAGAGGCGTGGTTATTTTAAAGAATATTTTTTCATGGACTATAAGAGGCGTGGTTATTTTAAAGAATATTTTTTCATGGACTATAAGAGGCGTGGTTATTTTAAAGAATATTTTTTCATGGACTATAAGAGGCGTGGTTATTTTAAAGAATATTTTTATGGATTTTTTTTTTTCAAAATTATTATGTAAGTGATTGTGGCAATATGGGCATATACTACACTAACCACAATAATAATTATTGTTATGATGAATGATTGATTAGCTAATTATTTCAAATATGTCATATCTATCGTTGTCAAAGATAATGTCGTCTGACACTTATCTCATAAACGTTTAATAAATATTCGAATATATTTCATTACACATCTCATCCTACTACACCTCCCATTATCTACAATAGAAGCAAAACTGATATTCTTCCAGTTAACCAATGAAACGAGATATACCATCATTAATCAATGTTCTTAGCCTACCAGAAAGTGATGATACACACCATGTGTTAAATGTGTTGAGTTGTATATTCTCTAGCACCTAAAAACATAAACTAATGACAATAATATTTTTGTCTTGTCATCATCTTATAGTTCGACATTATTATTGTGTGTTGTCAACAAAACATTTGGGAGTCATTATTTTTTGGGAATTTGTAAGAAATACAAATCATGTTGAGTTTGTGTAAAAGAAACACCCCATGAGGCACCTTACACTCAATGAGTCAGGTATATTTTAATGAATATTTTATCAAGGACTATAAAAAATATGGCTATATATTTTAGAGAGTATTTTTTAAAGGACTATATGACAATACATTTTTTAAAAATATTTTCCAGGACTATATCAGATGTGGGTTTTTTTAAAATTATTTTTAAGGACTATATCAGGCGTGTGTTTTTTAAGAATATTTTTCAAGGACTATATCAGGCGTGGGTTTTTATACCCATCACCACACTGTGGTACAGGGTATTAGGTCTTTGTGCATATGTTTCTAACAGGCAAAAGGAATCGAGATAGACCCATGGTTCCTTTTGAGAATATGCATAGAATCACAGTCTGAGTCGATTTATGCATGCCCGTCTCTCCGTCCGTCCATGTATTTTTGTGAGCAAAGTACAGGTCGCATTTATGATCCGAAATGGATGAAATTTGGCACAGCTCATTGGCTAGGTCCAAGGACGAATCCTATTGAAATTGGAGAAAATCGGTGCAGATTTAGATATAGCTACCATATATATTTTCTTCCGATTTTAATTAAATGATGCACCAAAGTCCCTATATATCTTTCGATTTGCACGAATTTTGGTATAGCGTAATGAATTAGGTCGAGAATGATGTGTGCTAAGTTTCGAGAAAATCGGGTCAGGTTTAGATATAGCTCCCATATATAGTTTCGCCCGATTTTAGGTAAACGGTACATCAAAGTCCCTGCACATCTTTGATTTGAACGAATTTTGCATAGTGTATTAAATTAAGTTTAGCTCCCATATATATTTTGTTCCGATTTTAATTAAATGGTGCACCAAAGACCCTGCAAATCTTTTGATTTCCACGAAGTTTGGTATAGCGTACTGAATTAAGTGTAGAATGACTTGTGATAAGTTTCGTGCAAATTAGTTCAGGTTTAGATATAGCTCCCATATATAGTTTCGATTTTTGGTAACTGTTCCATCAAAGTCCACGCAAACCTTTCGATTTTCACGAATTTTGGCATCGCGTTCTAAATTAAGTCTAGAATGACGTGTCCTATGTTTCGTGAAAATCGTTTCAGATTTAGATATAGCTCCCATATATAGTTTCGCCCGATTTTACATAAATGGTGCACCAAAGTCCCTGCAAATCTTTGATTAGAACGAATTTTGCTTAGCGTATTAAATTATGTTTAGAATGACGTGTGGTAAGTTTCATTGAAATCGGTTCAGATTTAGATCTAGCTCCCATATATAGTTTCGCCTGATTTTACGTAAATGGTGCACCAAAGTCTCTGCAAATCTTTTGATTTGCACCAATTTTGGCATAACGTACTGAATTCAGTTCAGAATGATGTATGCAAAGTTTCATGAAAATCGGTTCAGATTTACATAACTCCCGCATATAGTTTCGTCCGATTTGAAGTAAATGGTGGACCAAAGTCCCTGAAAATTATTAGATTTGCACGAATTTTCGAAAAGCGTACTGAATTAAGTCTAGAATGGCGTGTTCTAAGTTTCGTTAAAATCGGTTCAAATTTAGATATAGCTCCCATATATAGTTTCGCCCGATTTAAGTAAATAGTGCACCAAAGTCCCTGAAAATCATTCGATTTGCACGAATTTCGGCCTAGCGTACTCAATTAAGTCTAAAATGACGTGTGCTTAGTTTCGTTAAAATCGGTCCAGATTTGGATATAGCTCCCATATATAGTTTCGCCCGATTTTAGGTAAATGGTGCGGCAAAGTCCCTGCTAATCTTTTGATTTGCACAAATGTTGTCATAGCGTACTAAAATAAGTCTAGATTAATGTGTGCAAAATTTCGTAAAAATCGGTTCAGATTTAGATATAGCTCTCATATATATTTTCGTCCCATTTTTTGTAAATGCTGCACCAAAGCCCCCTATATCTTTCGAGTTTGGTATGGCGTACTGAATTACGTCTAGAAGGATGTGTGCAAAATTTCGTGAAAATCGTGTCAGATTTACAAACACTTCCTATATATGTTCGTCCGATTTTAAGTAAATGGTGCACTAAAGACCCCTAGCTAGGCTGATTGACTGAAGGTAATATAATGTAATCTCTGACAAGTTTCCTTGAAATCGGTTCAGATATAGATATAACATAGCTTCCATATATAATTTCGACTTATTCATGTTTATTGTACACCAAATAATCAATGGGTGTTTGATTGAGATTAAATTTTAAACAGTGCAGTTTGCTTTAAATCGATTTACAAAATCTAGCATAAGTCCCAGAATGACATGTGTAAGAACTGATGTTAGTCCGTTTAGATATAGATAAAGATCACATATTTAAGTTCGTTCAATTTCATGTCAATGTTCCTTCGAAAAGGCAACGTCTTTTAGGATACATATGTAGAATATACTCAAAGTGGTTAAGGGTATCATATAGTCGGCCCAGTCGGACTTCACTACTTTCCTCACTGGTTTTAAATAATAATTTTTCAAGGACTATATCAGGCGTCGGTTTTGTAATAATATTTTCTTAAGAACCCCACCTAGTTTTTTTAAATAATATTTTTTCGAGGACTGCTATAGGCGTGGTTTTTATAGATTATATTCTAAAGGGCTTTTAGATTATTATTTTAGATTATAGATTATATTTTCAAGGGCTATTCGATTTCTTGTCACAGTGTAAAAATTAACTATTAAACTATTCATGACTCACCTTCAGTTGGACCTTCGTAACACAGCGATGATATATTATTGGTTAAATTGCCACCCAGGAAATTGCTACAATTCGGTCGATATTCATAACTACTAAAATTATTGGCAATATTTGTTAATGATGTGGATGTTGATGATAAAGTTGTGCCCGAAACCATGGTGCCATTGTAGTTGTAAAAATAATCACCAAAATCTTCAAGGAGTAACATAAAACTGCTGCCCCCATCATTGTCGGTGTCGGTTCGAAGGATATTGTTACCACCACCATTACCGTTAGTGACGCCATTATTTGATGATTTTGTGACGCCTTTCACCCGGCCACTACTTGCTCCAATGATATGATGCAGAACAGAGGTGGTGCTTGTCGCTGTTGTACTACTGGTCTCATTGTATGGGTTAATTAAATCAACCAATTCATAGCCACCAGCAGCATTCGATTCACCACCGCCACCATTAAAGCTTACAATGTCATAATCAGTCTCACCGGCCAGTAACGTTTCCGCACTATCGATCAATGCTATGTCACCATCACCAGCAGCATTGTTGTTGTAATTATTAGTATTACTCAGAGGAGAAGTTTCGGAGGCACCGGAGACGGATGTGGTGGCAACAGTGTCACTGACCGTTAACACCGTTGGCGAGGAAGATATTTGAGCCATAATATTTGAGTGTAAAACATTCCACAGCGAGGTGTCATTCGCCTCATAGAGCACGGAAGCATCAATGGCGGAGGATAAATCGCTGGTGTTGTTGCTGACGGCATATTCGTTTGCAGGTGAGCTAAATAAAGTGGCATAGGTACTGCTGCTGCTGGTGCTGGAAGAGTTTTGCAAACTATCATAGTCAAGGCTGGAGGAGTTGGACGTAACGGGGGTATTATTTAAAGCCATTGTCGATGATGATGCGGATAACGTGGCAGGTGCTGAGAGTAATGCTGATGCTGAGGTACTGGACCAATTGGAAGAGATTAAAGTTGTCAGGCCACTATCAGCCGCCGTCGCCGCCACATCACCATCTGCATCATCGGTGGGTGATGTTGTCGTTGTATTGCTTTGATTATTGGCGGGATTCCAAATGCCCACAATTAGGCTACCTAGACTAGCCATTATGTCCGAATCCTCATCAGCGCCACGGGCAATGCCATCATCGTCATCATCTAGACTGGCATCATATAACCGGAAATAGTCATCCTGGGATGATGTGTTGCCGATAAGATTGCCGGATGTTGTTGAATTGCTATCCTCCATGGAAGTCATTGTGTAAAAGAGAATTTCGAGCGAATGGTGAAAATAAAAGAATGCTACTCTAAAAAAATACAAAACTTCGACAGCTACTGGTTGCTGCTGCTGTTTGTGGATTGGGGTTTCTTGGGAACCACAACCGTTTTTGGGAATAGTTTTGGAAGGATTTGCGGTTGGTTAGTTTGTTTGTTTTGTTTTTTGCTGTCTTGCAAAGTGTGGCGTTTGGATACAACTGTTTTGTGGCCAATTGTTGTTGTTTTTCTGGTTATTTATTGGTTTTCTAAAATAACACTCTGTGGCAACTTATGCCCGCCTCAGTGTGTAAGGAGTAGGATGAAGCGAAATCATGTGTCTTTTGGTGTTGATGCCATCCTTCCAATTGTCAGGAATTTTCTATACATCATCATATCTCCACAAGAGTTTTGCTGAAGTTTTTGGCCCCGCGTACGAAGAAGACGTAGTTGTAGATAAAAATCAGCAGGCATTGTTGTTGCAAAATAATTGCCACATTCGTTTATCATTATGTTGTGGGGAGGCCAACAATTGTCGCAAATTTTTATTTGCCAATGTCTACCATAGCTGCCGCGAATGACTTATTCAAGAGCCGGATATTTTCAGCAATGCTCTTTAGTACCTCTTCTCCTCTTCCCGTACTCTTAGCTTCGCCTTCATTGGGAATCTTTTATTCTTTTGGGTTTTATTGCCGTTTTTCTTCCTCTTCAACTTTGCTGCAGTAACATTTGGTTTTTATTGATTCTCAAGTTCTTATGTTTGTCTTTTGGAGGAATGTAAACAAACGGCAATGGTCGTGTGTGTGTAAGTATGTGTCACGTTGTTGCAACATTTGTTTGTTGTCGACTGGCTGAACGATTGTCCGGATAACAAGTGTTGTACGAAAAATTCTTCGACCAATTTGTCTTCTTTTGGTTTGGAGGGAAGGGTTGTAGTACTGATATGAAAAGGGAGAGAGGGATAGGTGGTACCAAAATTATTTTCAATGGTCGTTGACTGTTGTCTTTGACGTCGTTTGGCTGGCTGGCAGGATTTCGTATCCAGAGGATGTGAATTTTGTTCAATTTTGTTTTCTGATGTTTTTCTCTTCTTTTACCTCCCTTTTCAATGCATATTCCACCTCATGCTCTTGAAGAGGATACTTGGTTCAATTCCTTTATTCATTTTAAGCAAATACATTGCCCCAACAGACACACATACGCTCGCACACACATAAACAGATAATAAGTTGGAGGGCAGGAGAAGGGAAATAGATTTATTGTCCACTACAACTACTAGTAGAGATGTGATGTGATTGTTGTTGTTATAACTGCAACAGGAGTTGCTGTTCTTAATATGGATCCCTCACTCTTTCCAACCTCTCGTTCATCCCTTTATTTGCTTCTTAACCAATACACAAGCAGGGTATCTGAAAAAAAAAAGAAATAAAAAAACGGAGTTTAAGAATTTGCTCTTGACTCAGTAAGAATGTACAGTTGAAAATAAAGGGAATGGGGGTAAGGGGGTTACTTTTGTTTTATTTTTTTTGTCATTTGATTAATTGTTTCTTGTAAAAGTTTTTTTACGAGAACAGCATCATTCGCAACTTGTTACGATATACAGCCAATAATTGAAAGAAAGACAAAGAACTGTTCTTTGCGTAAAAAGGTCATAGATCATTGTAATCAAAGTTCGTTTCATTTTGTTGTTGTTCTTTTAAAACGTCAACACTTGTTTGCATTTCGAGGTCATGTCCGTGTCAATTTATTATTATTATTTCTGAGAAAACAATTATGTCATGGTGTTTGCTTTTTAATAATTGAATAACTGAAAATATGCTTTCAATCATTTTTGTTCGTTGTTTTAAGTGTTTAGATAATGGAAATGAAAAAAAAAACGTCAAGGAAATATGTTTGACAAATAATTGTTTTTTAAACTATTTTTGTTGTCAAAATTTTCTGATATTTCAGAAATTATAGATTGTGTTTAAAGAAACTCAGGACATTTCGATTTCAAAATGTCATAAATAGATGATAATTACAGATTTGTATAATTATTATTTATTGATGGTTTCCACTTTTCGGCGAAATAATTGTCGGAATGACATAAGACATTTAAATAAGTCGATTGAAAAGTGTGTAAAAACGTGTAAAAACTTCTCAATGCCCATTGAAGAAATATATAATACCCATAAGGTAGAATTTATATTAAAATTGTAATTACGTTTGCAAATCTTGTATATACATTGGTACTACTATCAAAATAATTAGGTATCGCAAATTGTTCTGGTATCCCCTCCCTCCTAACGGATTGGATGGATAGAATGCTGGAAAGCACAATTGTCAAATCGTCCATGGGAGAGATTTCTGTGAGGAGATCTGTCTACAGAAGCATACCACAAGGAGGCTTCTGGTGATAAATGAGGTACTGCTGAAATTCGACCACCTTGAAATAAAGTTTGTAGCCTATGCTGATGATGTAGTCTTGGTAGTCGATGGGACATTTCTTCCGACTATTTCTGATATCATGAATGGTATAACCAATGGTTTTAAACCCCACGCTGGTTTAGTTACCTTAGCCAGCCAGAAGCTAAATGCCTTGGTACAATCCTTGACCACAAATTAACGTGGAAAAGGAATGTTGAGGAACGGACAAAGAAAGGACTAATAGCACTCTATTCCTGCATGAACTCTATCGGTAAGAGTTGGGGACTAAAACCAAAGATGTGGTTTGTATGTGATGGTTGTACTCCCTATTTTTACATGTGGATGCTTTTAATGGTGGCAAGGGGTCAACAGGAAGTCGCTGAATTGGCCACAATAGCATCCTTAACACGGTTGTTACTTCTTGGAGAGGATTACTCACATCAGTGATTATACTCCCTTTACCTCTGACCGGTCTGTCGATTTTTACAGACGGGTCGAATATGGAGGAAGGCGTTACTGCAGGAAACTAGCAATATATAACTCATATAAATTTAACGATCTTTTCAGTGTTTTTCTACCAGAAATCCTGGCAATCACGAAAGCGGCTGAAATAGTAAAAACACTTACTGCCGATAACCTAGGACTATCGCTTGTGGATAGTCAGGCGAAACTTAAGGTTTTAAAATCGTGCACAATTAACTAAAAAGCGGTTCGTGATTGCAGGCTGCTCTTTATGATATACGACGGATGGTTAAATTATGTTAGGTTCTAGGACATAGTAACATAGAAAAGAATGAGATTGCCGACAAGCTTGCTGGAGGAGGTTCACAGCCGTCCAATCTTTCGATTGAGAGATCTGTACAACCGCCTATTGGTTACTTTATTTGCAGAATCCGTTTGAACTATTGTGAGGTAATCGGCAACAGATGGTCATCCAAACATAGATGCAGGAAAAAAAGTATTTTAAACACATGGGGAATGTTTGAGATTATAAGGTAAAAACAATATTCAATACCATCTTGAAAATCATCTGGCCAGATTTCTCTCGCCGTATAACTTCTTCGCTGTTGTCCCAAAATAAGAGAGAGATTAAAATCGTTATGGGGATCTTAAACAGGTCACTGCCAGATTAGATTTCTCACTTCAAAATGGGACATTAACGAAGTGGATTATTGCCGTCTATGTGAGGATGAGGAAGAGCTAGAAACAATTGAACATATCCTCTGTAGGTGTCCATCACTGAGTGAAAGAAGACACAGACGGTTCGGCAAGTATAAAATTGATAACCTAGCATTTTTCTCCGGCATAGACCCCAAGCAAATTCTAAGCTTTGTTAAGATTTTGACATGGCTAAAGTAACCATATTTCTATACTCTCCAACTTCCAGTATCTTTCCTCTCTTCCATTACTTTTCTCTTCTCTTTTCAGCATGATCACAATGAACAAATATATCTGAGTGAACGGAATTTTGACATATTCCCCACTTCTTTAATGTATTTTATAGTAATAATGAGGCTACCAGAATCATGTATGTTTTTAATTAATATTTTTCAAAGTCTAACAAAGCATTGGTTTGAAAATTAATATTCTTCGTATAACCTTTTTAATATAAATCAATGTATCAACATAGGTCCACCCACATTTTAGGTATTGGAAGCAGAACATTTTCAATATAGATATTTTTTTCTTTTATTGCTGCAAAGGAACACCAGTTCGTACTTATCAACAAATTGTCATAGCGGTACAAATACACATTTAACAGATCAACGGAATTTGCGAGGCTCTTGTGGTCTTGGTCTTATTGTAACCTCAAGTACATAGCGCGGACGAGCTATGATATCAGGCCTACATGCCCGAAACTATCAAGAAAGTTATTTTATTTCTGAAAAGACGGAAAGCCAGATTGCCTTTCGCAAAACCTCGTATTATTTTAAATCCGACTCAGTGGAGAAATATCATGTTCTCGGATAAATTAAATTTAAAAATTAAAGACACAGACATAAACTATCATGAGAAAGGCCATAAATGAAAGACTTATGTCACAGTATTGCAAGCGTACTGGTAAGCATGGAGGAGGGCCAATAATGGTATTGGGTTGTTTTTTTTTATGGAGTTATATATATTTACGAGATTTATGAAGTAGTTGATCGGATTGTCTATACAAATGTGTTGGAACACGCAATGGTTCCCTTCGCTGTGTTTCAGCTTTTCAAGTACCACCAAACATACATTAAAACATGTTAAGGAGTGGTTGCAGGAGTCATAAATCAGGATTTTATAATGGCCAACACAATCACCAGATCTTTACTCTACAGGAAAATCTTTGGAGTTTCATAGATAAAAAAAATAAAAAAAGAGTTTCTCAAATAAACCTATATAGCCAGTTTTAAAAGAATATGTATACCCAAGGATCAAATTGAGAATTTTATTGATTCATTGCATCCAAGGTGGAATCCTGTCGATTACTCGCAAATTTGCGTATTTATAAGAAAATATCAAAAATTTGTTTTAGTTTTGACCATGCAAAAATTGGGTCAATTTAGTTGTCCCTAAGACACTTTTTAACTAAATTTTGGTTTATATATATTTTTTAAATTA